GTATCCTACACAAGTCAAGGTCAGCAACTTTTTGTCACGCACAGTTATTCAAAGAGGCTTAGGGTTAAATTGTCCTATTCTTCGCTAATGTTTAATAGGAGTCTAACAGGCGCGTGTAGAGTGCGGTCAACATATGATAAAAGTACTGGTCCTCGTCTGATTAGAAAACTCGGGAAGTATTGCTGCCATATACGAACATGGGGTTGCCTAGCCTTCACTTTCCAGTCTCGATAGTGTCCAAAAGCACCCCCCACGTCTTGGTCGGTGATGAATTCCTATTCACTCTACAACTTCTTTACACAAAGATCAATAGTCACAAGCGACTCGCTGCTATATTAGTCTTTCGATAGAAAGTCTTCAGACGAAGTACATTACATAGTTCCACCAGTTTTAAACTTCAGGTCGAAGACTCACCTTGCCCCGCATTGTAACGAACTCTCTTCATTCTTTTCACATTGCATTGGTGAGATGTAAGTGTCATTCGAGTAGATTCTTCCCACGAGCCGTTGCTTTATGGAACCGGCTCCCAAGAGGATTACTGTATTTTCCGGCTTACAAGATGCACATTTTTTTTCGTAAAATATACCCTGAAAATTAAGTGTGCATCTCCCAAAATGAATGTAAGGCAACGCCCAGACTCAAATAAGCTTGGACGGTCACCTAATTGGCGTGGAATTGTATGTCGAGTCATTACACTCTAATGTTAGCTATCTATTTAATTCCGCCTTTTTATATGATGTAATCTCAGTATTTAGCTGTTACAAGTATTTACAAGAATATAAACCTTCCTGGAGTCGAGCCACAACCTTAAAGATGTTCTGTTTACTAGCAGCGGCGGGAGACTTTCTGCCCTTGACTAGAATGCCATTGCCATACAAAAAAAAATCGAACGAGTGATTAATGTAAACAATAAGTGGCGCCAGTTTGTGAGGGACACATGGTGAATGTATTGTTGTATGAGAATGATTTTTTTCTTAGAAATTTCTTTCCAGTATTGCAGGCCGGAAAATACGGCATTTCATGAGCATTGTAATCTAAGCCTATTCAAGTAAACCACTATCTTATCCACATATCCACATAAACTGTACGGCTTACTCAGTAATCCTCTACATCGAGTGGCGCTTGTGCCTCCTACAGGGTGAACAATATTGCAAAAATGCAACAAATCTGGTCGATACTTAGATGAACGAATACTGCCTAAATATACAAATATATATATATATATATATATATATATATATATATATGAGATAAAGAACAGATGGAATAAAATCCACAGTTCGTAGCCTTTACTTTAATTCTGAATTTATACCTCCCTTTAACTTCCGAAAAAAGGTAACGATTTGTTTTTAAATTTTACTAATAAATCATTTTTATCACAAGTTACCAACAATCGCCTGACAAAGTAGTACAACCTTAGTACTGAAACATGAAAATTTTTGTGTTGCGATGTAAAAATGAATTAATGCCTACATACATTTATAATTATATGTAATTTGGCGGGAAATTAAACAAGACAACGAAAAATTAAAATAGTTTTTAATATATTCACGTAGATATGAAATCGGAATAATATAGTCGTTGTGTATTCTACGATCCTTTCCTTAGCTTTGTAGCATGTGCTTCGCCAGCAATTAGAACTTCCTAGACTGGTTCCCAACCATGGTTATAGATCCCAGTATACCTTACTATTTAATCCATAGCTGGGAGGGTCGAAGGTTATTTCCAAGGTTATTTGCACGTAAGTGAATGGAATTCGGGCCTGACTGGAATTCGAACACGGCTCTCCGAATTGTCATTCCGAGCCGTTATTGGTTGCAGTACAAGCACATCAAGATAGAAGTCCAAAAGCACTGGAAAGTGTATATGACTTAGTATGAAGTTAATAAGAGACTGAAACACTATCTATGAACTTTGTGTTTTGACTGTTCATCTATCGTTGAATGTTAATAATAACAACTGAGATAGTAGAAGTTGGAGTACCACAGAGTTTTAGAAAATCTTATTAATACATACCCCAGGTTGTCTTTCTTGGCATTTTCTTGAATGTGTGCTGGCTTTCAGACCAGGACAACTGTTGTGGAAGGCGACAAACAGCGTAAGGATGAAGAAAAATCCCATATCATTACCCGAATTAATCACTTTCACAGCGAGAACAAATAGCTATGTCCCTGTGAATGGCAACGTCCTACTTTGACAAACAGAACTTGTCAGATAAATCCATGCATAAACAGATCGACAAAATGAATTCATCTGCTACAGTTATGTCGGGAAGACAGCTGAAGAAAATATCTGTGTGAAATACAATCTTACCTCTGTAATTCGGCACCTTTCGGATCAGACCACTACAGCTGGACTACAGAATTTCTGAATAACAAAAATCCCACCTAAAAACCACTTAAGGTAAATCGTCTTCTCAGCTCATTCCACATTATATTACTGTGTTATCAACTGTAGAACAAAGTTTAAAATAATCTTTAATGCTTTATAATGAATTAAAATAATCATTAATGAGTCCAAAGTTTTATTGTTTCATGCAATACAAAGGTAAAAAAACAAAATAAAAATACCGTTTACATTATTTACATCGATCGGACTCACGATGTTTCGGCCGTTGTACGTTCCAGCCTTCTTCAATAGCTATCTATATTTCTGAGATGTGGTATTGTAACTATTTACATCGTTCGGACTCTTGTCCTCATCTTTATTGACATGTTCACGACGTTTCGGCCGTTGTACACTTCTTCAGGATCTGTCCATATTTCTTGGAATATTTATCCACTGAGCCACATGGCCAAGTGGATAAAGTCCTTTCTTGATTTATCCGGAAAGTGAGAAAACAGTTATGAGTTCAATCTCTTAGACGAAGCTTGGAGATTTATCAAGACGATTTAACTAAAACTGGTATATATCAATTATAGAATTAGAATGAAAGCTTCGATTAGAAAGTTCAATAAATATCATCTGAAGAAAGGAAACGTTGTGAATGTGACAGCAAAGATGAGAACAGCAACCCGAGCCATGTAAATAGTGTAAATAGTTATAATACCTCATCTCAAAAATATAGATAAAGAATTATAACAGTATATGTCTATATTTCAGAGACGAGGTATTATGTACACTATTTACATTATGTTATGTATACTTTTTCATTATTCGGACTATTGTCCTCATCTTTGTCGCCATATTTATCACAACGTTTCGGCCTTTCAATATGTGTCTATATTTCTGAGATGAGGTATTATGTAGACTATTTACATTATTCGGACTATTGTCCTCATCTTTGTTGCCATATTCATTACAACGTTTTGGACTTTCAGTATCTGTCTATATTTGTAAGATGAGGTATTATGTACACTATTTATATGTATTGTAAGTTATTGTAAAAACTTTAAGACAGATAACCTTATGTTCAAAAATAACAACACACTAGTTAAGTCAAAATTACATTATCTATGAATTCAAATGCCCGTTAAAGAACTGTGTTCCTGATCAAACCGGACTCATAAATAATTACATCGGTTACACAACTACATGCTTATCCAGACGTCTTACATTACACCTATCTGATCACAGCTCCATTAAAACCCATTTAAACACACACACAAATTTACCTGACTCCATTAGGAACATACTAGTAGAAAACATAAATATAATAACTTCATCCACTTTTAAAAAACGATTAAAAATAATGGAAACTTTGATAATAAAAAAGAAAAAGCCAACTCTTAATAATATTAACTACGAACAAGGCCACAATGTGCTAACCGTCTTCTGAAATTAATAACATCTCTACAACACACTAAAACATACACATGATGCACACTCTCAATTGAGCTGAAAAATTGAATTATCATTGAAAATGGCTAAAGGTATAGCAGTAAGCGCTAGGAACTATAAAATATTTGGACTGTTTCTACACACTCTTTGTCCAGAAAAAAAAACTCTTGTTCGAACGCAAGAAAAATTAAATTAAAATCTTAACCGTAGTACCTTGTCTGTCGTTTTTAATGAAACATGCATATATATATATATATGTACACACACACACACACACACACACACACACACATATATATATATATATATATATAGGAGCTCTTTATCATTTTATTTTCACTCTTCTGTCAAGTTCATCGCATGCGATTTCTGGGGGTGACTTCAAACTTTACAACTGTAGTGTATATGAATGCATACAGGGTGTCCCCACAAAATTGACATAATTTAAAATATGAATATCTGAGTAACTGCAAATTCCAAGCAAACAAAATTAAACAGCCTTCATGTTGAACAATAAAATATTTATTTATCAAAATTCGAACACTATATTTAGAGGGACGAAGATTTTATAAGCGGTTTCACAAAGCTTCAAAATGTTCAAAAATAATTTCTTGCCACCTGTGACATGACTACACATCATGTTGGTTTTCCAGCTCCTGCCAAACACGCTTGTTGTGGAGTTTTTTATAAGTGGAAGCTTGTATTAAATATATCGGTTTAAATAGTTCGAATACAAAACGTTAGTTTTTTTTGATATAATAGGTATTACGCAAGATTTTAATCTTTTAAAATATAAAATGACAAAATATGTATTCTTTAACTGTCGACTTACTGTCGTCCGACATCGACTGACCCATCGTTTTCTTTTATTACTCCTACTTATATTACAATTGGAGATTTATTAACTATAGAATAGGTTTGTTTCACCATATCAACGATGTAGCATGTCTTTATAAACATATTTTGAATAAAGTGATTCTCTGTTTAAGTTCCTAATGCTTATTTTATATATGATATAGATCTGTTCTTTCATTTATCCCAAAAAAAAGGTGTCAACTCACGTGATCTTTGTAGCTATTTGAACAGCACATTGTCATTATCATTGGCAGGGTCAGTCCATCTTCATCGTAGATTCTCATGGAGATAAGTTTTGAAAAACTTATTTCAAAATTTTTTTTTTCATTTTTTCTCTTATTTATGCTGCGCATCATGACTTCCAAATGGGCAGAGGCAAATTTTCCCTTTCTCTCCCGTCTCGGTATTCCATTTAAGATTATGCCTACGGAGAAGTTTTGACTGTTTTTTGACAATTCTAATTTTAAACCAAGTGGGTGAAGAGGGGTCTTATTTTAATTACCGATTTTCCATAAGAATTATTACTTCCCAGCCTTTGGTCTGGCTTCTTCTAGTAAACCCTCAACCATTCACTTCGCTTCCACAACCTTTGTGTTATCATGTCGACCTTACAAGGGCGTTTCTCATTTTAATTTCCTATTCCGGTGACAGATTAAGTTTGTCATACCGAGTTTATATTCCTACAATTATATTTCAGTTGGCCCCTTGGCCCGGCCTGCAAATCGCAACTTCCACTTTTTTTGGCGACCATAAAACAAGTAATATTTCTCAATTCCGTTTTTAAATCTCACGGTTAGCGACCAGTTAGGAATCGGAGTGTCTTTTTAGCGATCTCTGCTCATTTAAAAATAAACCACTTTCATTGAACTTGTGTCATAGAGTGTCCATATTTCTTATTTATTTCCACCAGTCAGTAAACTACTTAGTAAATTTTAGTGTTTTTTTAAAAATTTTTTTCAAATTTACATCCGGACGAATATCCTAATCTTTGCTACTGTTATCACAACGTTTTCGGCTACACAATTGTCAATCCGGGTAACCGTTGATGAAATTTTGAACTGAACCCTTTATTTAATCTATAGAGATAGACTGTTCTTGTGCCACTGCCCATATCGAGGCATATTTTTCTTGTTCCGGTATCGTACTGATATCTTAACAGAGAATAATTTTGAACTACTCAGACGAGAGGTTGAACTCACAGTTCTTCTTTATATGCTCTTTATCCACTCAAGTATACATTGGCTACTCGATAAAGAGGTTGGTTAGATCTTATTGACTAGAAAAAGAGTTTGAGTTCAATAAAATTAAAAAAAGCTCGTGGAACTAGAACAATATACCTCGTTGGACGAAATAAAAAAGTAAGGTTCGAAATTCCAATCAAAAATGAAGAAAAGCGGAGCGTACAACGATAAAAAACGTTATGAATATAAGCAATGAAAATGAGGATAACAGTCCGAATAATGTAAATAATGCAAGTAATCATAATACCTCATTTGAAATATAGACAATTATATAGAGAGACATAGACAAAAAATACTGGGCGTACAAAATAAAAACTTAAATTTGAAAATATGGCAAAGAAGATGAGGATAACAGTCCGAATGATGTAAATAATGTAAGTAATCATAATGCAAAAATAAAATCTCAGAGACATAGACAGATGTTAGAGAGACATAAAGGTCGGAAATTACAACGGCCGAAACATTTATATATGGCAATGAAGATGAGGATAACAGTCCGAATAATGAAAATAAATCATAAAAAGAAAAAACACGAATAAAACAAATGTATATAATTTTCACCTTCGTATTATAAACAAAAATTGATTCAAATTTTAGGATTCAAGAAATCGCTACCTTAAAAAAAAAACGACCTGAAAATAACCTTCTTCGACGACTGTCTTCATTAAATCGAATGGAGTTTTAATTAAGCGGAAGCGAGAAAGCTGTAATTAACGTCATTAAAACGCAAAAATCTTTCATGCATAAAAGAAAGAAAATATCTATAATAAGATTTTTTTTTATAAACTTTTTATGAAATTTATATTTTTCATGATGGACGAGGTTATTTTTTTTAATTATCCTTTTAAAATTTGAATTTAAACATAAATCTCTCATTTACCATTATTTACTTTCTAATTGCTTTTTGCGATAATTAACATTTCCCGCTTTTTTTCGTTCTTGTTTCACGTATTTCTCAACTTTTTTAATTATTTTTGTCCTTAGCCAAACTTCTCCCGTATATATTCATTAATTAGTACGGGAACATGACAAAAAATTACGGCCATTAGCCGCAATGTTACCTGTTCTGGGGTTTGAAATTTATTTCAAACCAAATGAACCTGGTCATGAAGCATGATGGGTGACCACTTGAGAATTCCATTTAGAATGCCAGGTGCTCTAAGCTTGAATGTGCAGGTAACGAATAACGACTCAAAATGAGAAAACATAGAAACGAGTTCGAGCTTCAGAGAAGAAAGATTTTGGAAATTATCAGATTGGATCAGTGACCAATTACGAATTCCTGGTAAGAAAAATGGAATATCTTTTAATGTTAAAATATCAGCAGAAAGAATTGAACTAAATATCATTTAAATATATATAAATAAAAAATACAGCTGCCAAACTATATTAGAAAAAAAGTCTCTGCCTCAGCAAAGATGAAAGATAAATGTCTCTCCACAGCTTTCTAACTCGTATGACTCTTTTCAGTTTTTTTCTTTGCTAGTTGATCTCCCGTTTCGCCATTAATTCATACAAGCGTGTCAGATGAGCGAATTACTGCCCTCCTTTATAGGAGAAAAATTTAAATATGTCCATTTAGAAGTTAAAGTATTTTCTGAGATTTCTTAGTTACATTATTTAAATTATTCGGACTAAGTAGTTTTGTCGCCATATTTATTATAACGTTTCGGCCGTTGTACGCTCCGGCCTTCTTCATGTGGTTCAATTTCGAACTGAACCCTTTATTTCGCTCACTGGGGTAGACTGTTCTAGTTCCAATACTTGCCATGTTTGATTTATGTGGGTTATCAGTGTTCCTTATTTTAAAACAATTCTTAAATATTCTACACTATTTAAATTTGGAAATTAAGTTGTAAAAAAATGTTTAAAAGATGATCAATAGTCTTCCATATATAAATAATATCCTGTATAAGTTAATGTTTTTAATCTTCTTATTATATCAAGAAAATTTTTATATTTTCCTGTTAAAAATAAAAGTGTTCTTTCGGTTACCAATTTTCTTCAATTTTTTTTGTTGCTTACTTGATTTATTCATGGAATTTTCATTTATCCTTCTGTAGAAAATAACTTAATTTCAGTGTCCTCCTCCTCCGTGTTATCACTTATTGTTCAGCAAAACTGCCATATAAAAGATGGAATATCACATATTAATCAATACTTTTTTTTCTTTCTAACGAAATTCTTTCTGATTCTCTGTAGAAATGTAATTTGCAGTTATCTTTTCTTCAAGACTTCATTTGCAAAAATGCTTCGTCCATGGAATTTTGTCAGCAAAGGAATGCTACCTCCAAATCCTCCTCCGTGGGGGACATTATCCTACATTATTACATTTGAAGATAAATATAGCTATTAATACTCGTTTTTTTTCTAACGAAACATTTTTTCGAAAAAATGTTTATATCAAAATACATTTAATATAAAAATATATTTATTTTAAAATCTAAGGATTTATAAAATTACAATATATATATATATATATATATATATATATATTATATAATGGACTCTCCGTCGGTTTCGACGTATGAGGATCTGACAGCTTATTGATTCAGTTATGAAAATTTTGTGCGATAATCTTAAGTGGCATTTAAGACCCGCTAGTGATTTACAAAGGAGGCCACATATGGAGCAAGTGTGAGGATTGTGAGATGAGATCACTGTTAGATTGGCTGACCTTTTAGATCTTGCTCTCGCTTCTTGAAGATGATTCAGACAAGCAGATTGAAAATTGCTGAGTCCACTAAAACACGTTGATCTCCATTCTACCCGCTCCAAGGCTAAGCGCTCAAGGGTGTTATGTGGTACATTGACTGCTGACAAGTTGCTCTTCAGCTTGTCTTTGTATCCTAGCCATGGGCGTCCTACATTCCTGTAACCCTGATCTAACTGGCTGTACATTAGGATCTTGGGTATCCTGTCAGCAGACATTCTCAAGACATGACCAGTCCACCGTAACTGAGACTGTATGATAAAAGTCTCGATTCCTCCAATATTACACCTATTAAACAGGTCTACGTTAGATGTCTTATCTTGGAGCTTAACTCCACAGATTGCACGCAGACAGCTTTTATGGAAAACATCTAGCTGGCGTATATGGTACCTTTATGGAGTCCACGATTCTGAGCCATACAAAAGGATGGTAAGTCCAACAGCTCTGTAAACCCGAATTTTCGTATCCAGTCGAATACCCCGCTCATTCCACAAGTGATTGCGAAGTTTGCCGAAAGCACTGGTAGCCTTAGCAATCCGATAAATTTTGATTTTCATATCTAAAGTTTCTATATAATTGACTTTGCTATAAGATAAGTGAATAAATTTACATAGTTCAGTGGTTTGTCTATCATACTAAAATGGTCTCTCTGGAAAAATTATAGAAGATCAATATTTTTAAAAATAACCATTTGCAATTAAAATATTATAGGATAAAAAGGTTGGTGCAAACTCTATGTATTTTTATGAATAATTTTTTTAAGACCAAATGCTTAACATGCAAACAGAGAAATTTAATTTATTTTTTTTGATCCTCCAAAAAGAATTTTATAAAATATATTATATATAAATATATATCATATATATATATATATATATATATCATGATAAAAAAACACACACACACAACACACACACAAAATATAACATATATATATATATATATATATATATATATATATATAAATTATAAAAAAATATAAAAGAAATAAAATTAACCTTAAATTTATTTTTTTCTTTTTGCTAATCAAATCAATAAATTTAAAAAAATTTTTAAAAAAGAGAAAGATTATAAAAATTTTTTTACAAACAAAAAAATCATTAAGATTATTTTAATCAAAACACCCAAAAAAAAAAATTTGAGTAAACAATTGTTAACAAAAATTATCAATACATTAAAATTAAATACCTATTAGTTCCTAAATCAGCAACAAAATTTTTAATGGGTTTAAATGATTAAATGAAAACTTTGAAAACTTTTATAAAAATTGATCAATCATGTTTTTTCATAATTGAAATATAATTCGTCAATATTTTAAAAAAGTAATGAATTTTTAAGAAAACAATATATATATATATATATCTAATTTATATATATATATATATAATATTATATATATATATATATATTTTTTATATAATTAAACAAATAATTTAAAACATACATAAACATAAAATATATGTCGTTTATAAATATTTTTTAGCACAAAATTTGGATTTAAATGTTTTATCAACTAAATATTAATATTTATATATAAATATAATATATATTAAAAATTATAAACAAATAGTCCTTAAATCAAAAAAAAATATTATTATATATAAAATTTTTTATATACCAGATGTTCATAAATTTATATTAAAAATAAATATTTTATATTTATTTACATTTTTAAACAACCATTTTTTATTTAATTACTTTATTTTAACAATTTTTTTAATAAGGTTAAATATTTTCAATTTTTAATTATCAAAAAAATACTTATTAACTTTAAAGAATGAAATTTTAATTAAAAAAATTTTCTTTAAAATAAAAAAATACATCCTCACAATTTTTTTTTTAAAAATTATCTGGAATTTTTTATTTTGTAAATTTTATAATTTTTATAAAATATCAGAATAAAAAAATTATTAAAAAAAACATATTTATATTAAATTGGTAATTTTTTTAAATTAAAATTGAATTAAAATTAGAATAAAATTCTATCTATTTGAAAATATAGTTTTTAAAAATATTTTAAATTGTTTAAATATTTTTGGGAAAAAAACAAATTTAAAATTTTAAAAAAATATATAAATTTAATATTGGTAAAATAAATTTTAACCAAGCAAATTTTAAAGCTTAAAAATTTTTTTTCATTATCTTAATAAAAATTTATAAAACAAATTTACAAAATTTAAATATAGAATATTTAAAAAAATAAAAATTTTTATAAACATATGAAAAGAAAAAAAAAAATTCCAAAAAAATAAAAAGAATTTAAAGAATTTTTAAATAAAAAGATCCATCAACATTTCAAAATAAAATTTTTTTTTATTTTTTTTATATTATTTATATTGAAAAATAATTTAATTTTTATTTACATAATTTTTTATTCATTTAAAAATGTAATCTATTTAAAGTGAATTTCAAAAAAGAGAAATATATATTCATATAATCTTTATAAAATCAAAAAATTATTTAAAAAAATTTCAGGTTAAATGCTTTTTAATTTAAAAATAAAAAAAAAAGATAAAGAAAATGATTAAATATGTTATATTTATTTTTTCATAAACAAATGTTTTGTTTTTTTTTTTCATTTTTTATGATCCTGGTTTTTAAATTAAATTTATATAAAAAAAAAAAAATTAAATTTAAAATATTTTCATTTAGAAAACATAAATTTATAAGAAAAAAATCATTTTGAAAAAAAAATATAAATATTTCTCAAAAATTATATTTATATTAAATTTCTTTTTTTCATTTAAAAAATCATTTTTTTCTTTTTTTTTAAAAAAAAATATAAATGATAATTTGAATTTAAATGTTTTACAATCATAAAAGATATTTCATTCTTTTTTTTTTAAATTTTTTTTTAAAAAATTAATTATAAAACTTTTTCTATTTTGAAAAAATTGAACATTAAGAAATATTTTTAAAAAAATATTCTAAATTAAAAAATTTAATATATTATTTTAAAATATATAAATATTTTCATAGAAAATTTTTTTGTTAATCTTTTTTATAAAAAAATTTTCTTTCAAATTTTTTCTTTATGATTCAATTTTGGACTTTAAATTTTCAAGAAGAATTTATAAAATGATGGAAAATTTATAACAATATTTAACAAAAAATATATTTTTATATAAAAATATATAATTTACAGAATTTTTGTAAATATTTAAATTTTAAATATAAATTTCATATTTATCATTTTTTTTATTTTAATAAAAAAATTAAAAATTATGTTTTTTCAAAAATTTTTGGAATATTTGATATTAAATTTCTTTTCTATTTTCTTTTCATTTATATAATGAAACAATCTTTCTTTAGGAATTGATGTATATAAACAAATATTTAATATATTGATTTTTGAATTTTTTAAATTTTTTTTTATGACAAAGGTTTATTTCAAAAAAAAACAATTTTTAAAATAATGCTGGATAATTTTTAAAATTTTTGAATATTTTTTTTTTTCTTTATAACAAAAATGAAAAATAAATATAAAAAAGATTTAAATTATTTCAATTTTAACATAAAAGTCATGTTATTTTATATAAAGACATTTATAAGATTTTAAATTTTTTTAAACATTTTTTATTTTTTTATTTTTTTTTTACTTAAATATTTCAATGAAAAATATGTAAAAAAAAAAAAAAACCATTAAATAAATTTTTTAATTTTTAATGCTTTATTTAATTTTTAGTTTTCATTTTTGGCTTGAAAAGTTTAAATAATTTTCTATCATGATTCTTTTTATTAATCTTTAAAAAATTTTTGGATTTTTTTTATTTTTCATAAAAAAAATTTGATTTTTTTTAACATATTTGATTAAACTTTTATATCAATTTGTATTAAGTCAATCAAATAAATATTAAAAAGAATCATATATCTTTTATTTTATATTGACATTATTTTTCGACAAAATTTATAATTTTTGAATACATATAAATTTTTAATATAAATATTAAAAAATAAACATTCTTTTTTCATTTCTATTTTTTATTCTTTCATTAAGAAAACAATTGAAAATATTTTCTTTTACTTTTCTTTTTGTTTTCATGAATATATTACTTTTATTTTTGAATTTATTTTTTTATAAATGTTGAAGATATTTAACATTTTATAAAATTTTTAAAATCAAAAAATTATTAAAGTTTTTTTTTCTTTTTTTCTTTTGTATTATTTATTTATTGTTTCTATAACCAGAATTTTTTATTTTTATTTCCAATTTTTTTTTTTTTTAAAATTTTTTTCAGAAACTTTTTTTCTTTAAATAAATTTATAAATGCTAATATTTTTTTAATTTTTAAAAGGATGGATAATCAAGAAATTTCCAACAAATTTAGATTCAAAAGAAATTTTTTTTTTTTTTTTTTAAATTTTTTTCTTTATCAATTTTTTTTTATTTGGATCTTTATTTTTTTCAGGTGATTAAAAAGAAAAATATTATTTCCAAATATTTATGTTTTTTAACCATTCTTTCATTAATATAAATTAATTATTTATTTAAATTTTTTCTATTTCTAAAAAATTTTTTACCAATTACTAATTTTTTTTCTTTTTTTTTTTTTTAATTTTTTTTGCTGGTCGTTTAATTGTTTTCTTTATTTTTTTTTCTATTTCCTTTAATTTCTTTTTAATTTATTTTTATTTCATATTTTTTTTTTTTTCTTTTATTTTTTTCTTATTTTTCTTTCTTACTTTTATTTAATATTTTTTTTCTTTTGAATTTTTGAGATTTTTTTTTTTTAATTTTTCATTTTTTTAAAATTTTTTTTTTTTTATTTTTTTTTTTTTTATTCTTTTTTTTTTTTTTTTTTTCTTTTTTTTTTTCATTTCTTATTTTTTTTTTTTTTTGTTTTTTTTCTTAAATTCTTCTTTTTTTTTTTTATTTCTTTTTTTTTTTTATTTTTTTTTTTTTTTCAATTTTTTTTTTTATTTCTTTCTTTTTCTTTTTTGTTTCATTCTTCTTTTCTTTCTTTCTATTTCTTTTTTCTTTTTTGTTTTTTTTTTTTTTTATTTTCTTTTTTTTTTTCTTTTTTTCTATTTTTTATTCTTTTCTTTTTTTTCTCTTTCAATTTACTAACCTTTCTTTCTATTTTTTCTTTTTCTTTTTTTTTTTTTTTTTTCTCTTTATTTCTCTTCTTCCTTTTTTATTTTTTTTTTTTCTTTCTTTCCTTTTTTCTTTTTTTTTTTTTCTTTCTTTTTTTCTTTTTTTCTTTTTTCTTTTTTCTTTTTTTTTCTTTTTTCTTCTTTTTTCTTTTTTTTCTTTTTTTCTTTTTTTCATTTTTTCCTCTTTTATCTCTTATTTCTATTCTTTTTTTTTTTTCTTTCTTTCTTTTTAAGTCCTTTTCTTTCTTTCTCTTAATTTTTTGTTTTTTATTTTTTTTTTTTTTCTTTCTTTCTTTGTTTCTTTCTTTCTTTTCTTTCTTTTTTTTCTTTTTTTTATTTTTTTTTCTTTTCTTTCTTTCTTTCTTTCTTTTCTTTTTTTTTTTTTTTTTTCTTTCTTTTTTTCTTTTGCAATTTAAAAAATTTTCTTTCTTTTTTTTTTTCTTTCTTTCTTTCTTTTCTTTCTTTCATTTCTTTTATTCTTTCTATTTTCTTTGTTTTTCTTTCAAATTTCTTTCTTTCTTTTTCTTTTTATCTCTTTTTTTTTCCTTTCTTTCTTTTTTTCTTTCCTTTTTTTCTTCCTTTCTTTCTTTTTTTTTTCTTTCTTTTTTCTTTTTTTCTTTCTTTTCTTTTCTTTCTTTATTTCTTTCTTTCTTTAAATTTATTTTTTTTCTTTCTTTTTCGAAAATCTTTTTTTCTTTTTTTCTTTCTTTTTTTTTCTTTCATTTTTTTTTTATTTTTTTTTTTTTTTCTTTTTTTTTTTTCTTTATTCGATCTACATTTTTTTTTTTCTTTCTTTCTTTCTTTCTTTCTTTCTTCTTTCATTTTCTTTCTTTCTTTTTCTTTTTTTTCTTTTTTTTTTTTATTTTCTTTCTTTCTTTTCTTTATTTTTCATTTTATTTCTTTTTGATGGTTTCAATCTTTCTTTTTTCTAGAAATTTTTTTTTTCTTTCTTTCTTTCTTAATTTTCTTTCTTTCTTTCTTTTCTTTCTTTTTTCTTTCTCTGATATTTTTTTTTTCTTTGTTTCTTTCTTTTTCTTTCTTTCAGCTTTTAATTTCTTTCTTTCTTTTGTTATCTTTTCTTTTTTTCTTTCTTTAATTTCTTTCTAAATTTCTTTTTCTTTTTTCTTTATTTTCTTTTTTCTTTAAAATTTTCTTTCTTTCTTTTTTCTTTATTTTTAAACGTTCTCCGATTTTTTTCTTTCTTTCTTTTTTTTTTTCTTTCTTTTCTTTCTTTCTTTCTTTCTTTCTTTCTTAAATATTTTTCCATATATTTAAATTTTTTCTTTTCTTTTTTTTCTTTTTTTTCTTTATTCTTCTTTCTTTCTTTCTTTTATTTTTCTTTCTTTTTTATTTGAATAAATTTTCTTTTCTTTCTTGTTCCCTTTTTTTCTTTCTTTCTTTCAATTTTTTTTTATTTAGGACTTTTCTTTCTTTACATTTTTTTCTTTTTTTTTCTTTTTTTTTTTTCTTTTCTTTCTTTCTCTTAATTTTTAAGCTTTCTTTCTTTGCTTTTTTTTCATTTGTTTTTTTTTCTTTCTTTATTTTATTTTCTTTCTTTACAAAGAAAATAAATGTTCAAGACTTTCTTTCTTTGTTTTTTTCTTTTTCTTTCTTTCTTTTTTTCATTTCTTAAATTTAAATTTTCATTAAAAAGAATTTTAAATAAACTGCATTTATTTTTCCATTTCTTTCTTTCTTTCTTTATTTTTAAAAATTTCTTTTTTTTCTATTTCTTTTTTTCTTTCCAAACTTTCTTTCTTTTTGAATCTTTCTTTCAAAAACAGTATGATTCAAATTCCATTCTTTCATTTTCTTTCTGCTTTCTTTCTTTTTTAATTTCTTTCTTTCACCTTTTTTTCAACCTTTAAAATATTTTTTTTCATTACCTTTATGCTTTGTTTACGTGATTTTTGAATTTTTTTTTATTTTAAATGCTTCGACATGAACATTTCTTTTTTTTAGCCATCTTTTTTTTCTTTATTTTATTGCTTTTCTTTTTTCAACCAATCGATTTCTTCTAGAAGTAGAACTTTATTTTTTTTCAATACACACTTGGAATATTTCTTTTCTTTCTTTTTTTTTCTTTCTTTTTCTTTCTTTCCTTTTCTTTATAAAAAAATTCTATTTCTACACTTTTTTTTCTTTTATTCTTTCTTTTTTTCTTTTCTTTCTATTTTTTTAATTTAACTCTTTCTTTCTTTCTTTATTTACCACTTTATTAAATATGACAATAAAAATTATATATTTAAATATGAAATTTTCTTTCTTTCTTTCTTTCTTTTTTTTTTATTCTTTCTTTTTTTTCACCTAATTCTCTAGGACAAATATTTTTTTTTTTTCTTTATTCTTTTTTCTTTCTTTCTTTTTTTCTTTTTGAAATTTATAGAATATTCTTTATTTTTATATTTCTTTTTTTTTCTTTCTTTTTTTCTTTCTTTACTATAAAAAATTCATAAATTCTTTTTTTCTTTCTTTCTTTCTTTTTTTTTTCTTTCTTTTTCTTATTTAAACATTTTCTTTCTTTTTTTTCTTTCCCCCCAAATTTTCTTTCTTTATTTTCTTTTTTTTCTTTCTTCACAAATTTACAAATATTTCTTTCTTTCTTTTTTCTTTTAATATATTTCTTTCTTTCTTTTATCATGCCTATTTTTTTCATAAACACTTCCATTTTTTTTTTTTGTTTGTTTGTTTGTTTGTTTGTTTGTTTCTTTTTTCTTTCACAACCTAATTTATTCATGAACACTATTCTTTTTATGCAAGTTCTTTCTTTCTTTTTTTTCTTTTTTTTTTTTCTTTTTTTATACCATAAAATTACATTTCACAAAAAATTTTTCTTTCTTTTTTGAAAGAAAAAATTTTGTTCATTTCTTTACAGTACCGAAATTTTGAAAATTTAACATGAATATATATTTAGTATAAAACAAGTATGGCACCTGCGTAAAACGTTTTTAAAACCAATATTTGTAGTGATCGCGTTTTTTTCAGTCATTATTCCATACAGTCTTTCTAATGCTGAACTCAGTAGATCTCCATAAGCAGGCACTGGAACGTTTTTCAGTTTCCAAAAGTTAGCGATCTTTGACTTCTCTCTTGTTCAGCCGACATGTTATCCCATGCAATGAAATAAAACCCCTAAGCCACAAGGGGTTTACTGAATGTGTGAGAACAAGAAAGAAAGAGAAACATTAGCGAGCGGGAAGAATAGAAGAGGGATGAAGATAGTAGACAGCTATTGACATGGTATTGAAGATCTCCTTTGGATGGGGAATTTAATTTGGAACAGAGTTTTTAAAAATAGAATTTTGAAAAACAAACCACCATTTATTCCCTTACGGTTATATCTATGAAATTTAATTTGTTGAATTGATTTCTTTACCGCCAATTCCTTTTTTTATTTCAAAATCATGCATTAAGATTTCAACAGAAAATCACCATGTTTTTATTTATAGAGAAGGCATAATTTTTTGTAAATTACGGTTTAGGAATATAATCAAGGACAATGATATTGAATTCATTTGCAAGTTCTCAAGGAGATTCATTCTCTTTATGATAAAAACAATTTTTTTTTTTAATTTTTTGAAAAAATTCAAAAAGTTATCTTCCCTCCTACCAAAATAAACTATTTTTAAAATAATTTCTTGAAAGTGAAACCTTTTTTTGTGTAAATAACTGTTATCACTAAATTATTCAATAGCGTAAACCAAATGAGTCTGCGAGCAGAAATCTTTCGTTCTTATTTCCCGAGGCAAGCGTACAGAAGATGAAGGTTATATATTGATGACATGGGCATTCCAAATGTATAGTCAAAAAACAAAACACTAAACGTGGTAAAAGAAAGAAAGAAAGAAAGAAAGAAAGAAAGAAAGAAAAGTGTTTATGAATAAATTAGGTTGGAGAAAGAAAGAAAAAATCACTGAACAAAACCAAGCATCCTCTTCTAAGTATTAAAAGGACTCAAAACTTTTCCAAAACAGAAGCAATAATCCGGAATTAGAATGAAAGCAGTGATGGTGCATACATTGAATCAATCATAAAAATCCAGTACGTGGAATTTGTAAATACCAAACAGTTCAAATACTTCGGAGCTTGGATAATTTACAATAAATTTAATAGAGGCGAATAGGATATTGAACATAGAATAAGTTTTTGTATGAGTACTTTCACTCAACACTAGAAGCCGCTACAAAGCATTAACCTAAAAAAAACAAAAAAAAACAGAGTCATGTTCTTAAATACTCTCGTCAGATCGAGGCTTTCATATGGATATATCTGCTTGGGGCTAAACTCATTGAGAAATATAGAAACTGGGAGTATTTATACAACGATGTTAGAGTTGATGCTTCAAAAAATAGGAATGAGGTATTGAATATGGAGATAATTTTGGATCCGAATGCGGTTATTAATAGTGGGATGGGTTAACTTTCTTGGTTAACTTTGATTGATTCTTCTAATTATTATTGATTATTTGTTGTCGACTATTATTTCATTTACTTGTGTCGATGTGTGCATTCATAGTTTGTAAATTTGTCCATTATTTACTAATATATAATATAATTATTGTTTATTTATTAAGATTTTTGCTTATTTTATATTTATCGGGGATTATTTATCTAATTTGTCTAGTTTAAAATATCGGCTTTGTCGAAAACATGTTGGATATAGTGCATATATTTGTATTTTTCTTGATGGTATTTACAAGGGTTTCCTTTATAGATACCTGAACCTGAACGGCTGACTGACGATATTCAGTCCCCCCCCCACTGGGGGCAGCATGTGACACAAGGCCGGTTATTTATTGTGGGTTCTATGGAGCAATCATTAAATTCCAAAAATACCCATTGAACCTGTATAAACGGGTTCAGGGCCGGTTTACCTCGCCGAAAGAGAATCCGCGCTTCGGCGTAGCCTCGTTCGGGTTCCTCTTCGCCAGAAGGCAGAGAGTTCAACCGAACAGTCGGTTCAGAAGTGAACGATTGACTGACGATATTCAGTTCCCTCCCCCCATTGGGGCAGCATGTGACACAAGGTCGGTTATTTATTGTGTGTTCTCCGAGCCTGTGGGTTCGGCCCCCAAAATATGCCTATTGAACCCGTATAAACGGGTTCAGGGCCGGTTTACCTCCCCGAACGAGACTCCGCCCCTCGGTGTAGCCTCGTTCGGGTTCCTCCCCGCCAGAAGGCAGAGAGTTCAACCGAACAGTCGGTTCAGAAGTGAACGACTGACTGACCCCTTGCCTAATCCTGAGGCGCAGTATTTATTAAGTATAGAATAGTCCATTATTATTATTATGGTTACGATCCCATAACAAGCTGCAAGTGATAGAGAGAGGTGGAAAGCTATGGTCGCCTACATCCTGACATGACACATAAAAAGAAAAAGAAAGGTACCAGCCCTTTTTGTTTTCTTTTGTTTAAAGCTTATACTGAATGTTATTCACGCTAGTAATTTTAGAGTATTTATTTATACTATTTGGGTTATCGGAGGAGGTATGATCATAAATAAATACAGTTAATTATGTCTATGACGTCTAAATTGCTTGTTTACATATATTATATCTTTCTTACGTCTTGTTTATTTGTAAATAGACAAGGCATTTAGAGTTATTTATTATTGATTTATGTTATGAGATTTTATTAAGTTTTTCTTTTCTTTATGATGTACTTGTGGGTAGCGTACAAGGAATTTCCTTCCGTCTCGGCATTTGGAACTCAAGTCTGAACATTTTAGAACTTTATGTTGCTCTGAAAATGTAATTCTAACCATTTTTCTAAATTTACGTCGTTCGAACGGACTGGTGTTGTCTTTCTTCATTTTCATACTATTCTATATGTTTAGGTTTTCCGTTTTTCAGTTGCCAAATATGTAATCGGATATCTAGCCGTGCTGTAAAATTTGGATGACAATATATAAATATGCTCCTGAAAAATTATTTCGGTTGAGCTCTCGGAGATGGAAAAGTGAGTTATTAAAACAGTGACTATTACTGCTGCTAATGCAAGACTCTTCGATGAAACGAATCGCGTTCTCCCTTCATCTAAAAATAAATACGTTTAAATTCACTTTCATCCTGGACCTGCACCCATGGCTTAGGGATGGCTTAGGGATA